CTCCAGTAACTAAGGTATAATACAAACCACTACTGCTACCAATGATAATGATAAGAGGAATAATAAGGGGAGAGGACACAACCGCTCACCACCCGCCGACCGATACCCAGCCCGACCCGAGCAGCGATCTGGGCCTTCTGGGTAACTCCCCCCAGTTTATATACTGGGCATGACGTGCTGTGGCATGGAATAGCCCTTTGGCCAGTTTGGGTCAGGTGTCCTGTCTCTGCTTCCTCCTGGCTTCTCCTCCTGCCTGGCAGAGCATGAGACTGAGAAAGTCCTTGGTCAGAGTAAACATTACTTAGCAACAACTAAAAACATCGGTGCTATCAGCGTTGTTCCCAGGCTGAAAGTCAAAAACACAGCACTGCAGCAGCTACTAAGAAGGAGAAAAAATGACTGCTGTAGCTGAACCCAGGACAACAGACCCTCAAACTATCACACTATGTCCTTTTTAATGTAAATTACTGCAGTAATAACGGTTTATAATATTCCTATTCTGGGATCTGAAAATGTCTGGAGGTGGAACTAATCCATAACTTCAATAATGTCTATAGCTGTGTTTCAATAGCTTACATCTGGTACTGAATAACACAAACATTTATAGAAGAAATATGTAGCAATAACCTTTTCTGTAAGTGCTCACATTACAAGTAGGACAAGGTTTAAAATTATGGTACTGGAATATACAATACAGATCATAAGCATGATGAGAGGAAATATACCTTTGAGTATTTTTTGAAAAAGGCTGTTATGCTTTTCCTAAAATGTATTTAGAATAAACAGAATTATAGTGTATCTACCTTCACCACATACAGCATGTGAGGCTACATTTATCTTAACATGGAAAACAAGAAGTCTTTTGTTAGAGACTTGCAGGCAAATTACAGTTCCTAGTTCAGTCAGGATGCTACAACGCTTGCTTGCCAAAACTGATAATTATTCTTTTAAGAACTCCTGAAACATCAGGGACAGATCAATTTAATACCACTGTCAATTCATAAGAATTCTAAGCAGAAAAGTTCAAGAAGCACCACATGGGGCAATGACAGAAAAATGGATACACTGGGAACATGTCTCGTTTATTCCCATCTGTTGAAGAAGGCTTTTACCCTGAGGCATGAACATCTATCTTTCTGCTTCTCATAAAATTTTCCAACTGTCTTTCGCTATGTATGCAATTCTTTTTTATTTACGCCGAATCTTATCCCAAATAATATCTTAAATTGACAAATTCCTTAGGTCTTATGCATCACATTAGAATGGTGCTACCTTTTATCTGTCTCCATTTTGTTGTTTTTCAAGAGAAAGTTTGTATTTGTAAAGAGAACTAGTTTTAAAATCACTGAAAAGCTTCTTGGTTAACATCTCACCTTTGACACTATGTTTTTATCATGGTGTTTCACTTATAGATCACTTTGATTTAAAATACAATAAATCACAACAATTCATTACAGAATACCTGGCTTCTATACTGGCTTCAGAATGGATACTGTAATCTCACATTATCTTATTTAGTAAAAAAAAAAAAAAAAGTTAAATACTGTTCTCAATGAAATTCACTGTTTGATCCTTACAATGAATTAACAGAATCTTTTTCAAACTTTATAGTCTGAAATACCATTTATCCTCACAAAATATCTAAAGTTGTATTACTAAATCCACAGCTATAACATACTCAATCTACATATTTGGCATGCATTGCAGAAGTAGCAGTAATTACACAAATAATCAGAAACCTTATTTATTCCAATTACCATACAAACAATGCAAAGTGCCTTGTTTAGGTGCAATTAGAATAGCTGTCTAGTAATCTCAAAATGTATTGCAAGTAAGGAAACAAAATTTCTTCCTAAAGAGCCAGCATATATTTATATACACATGCCTTTTTATTTATAAGCGTATCTGCCTACACCCTTACATGTATATGTGTGTGTGTGGCTTTAGCTGTAACAATTATTTTTCTCCTTCTTAGTAGCTGGTGCAGTGCTGTGGTTTTGGGTTTAGTTTGTGAACAACACTGACAACACACATATGTTTTAATTGTTGCTAAGTAGTGCATACTCCCATCAAGGACTTCTCAGTCTCTCATGATCTGCCAGTGAGGAGGGCCACGGGAAGCTGGGAGGAAGCAGAGACAGGACACCTGACCCAAACTAGCTAAAGGGGTATTCCATATCACAGCACATTGTGCCCAGCATATAAACTGGGGTAGTCACCTGGAAGTCCTAGATTACTGCTCAGGTCAGGTTGGGTATTGGTCAGCAGGTGGTGAGCAATTGTATTGTGCATCACTTGTATTTATTGGGTTATTTTGTTTCCTTCCCTTTTCAGTTTTATATTCTCTCCCCTTGTTATTTTCCTTATCATTATTATTACTGATGGTAACAATAGTGGTTCTGTATTGTACCTTAGTTACTGGACTATTCTTATCTTAACCTATGGGAATTACATTCTTTCAATTCTGCTCCCCATCCTTCCGCAAGTGAGGGGAAAGACAGGGTGGAGAGTGAGTGAGTGGCTATGTGGTTTTGAGTTACCGGCTGGGCTTAAACCATGACAATATGTATGCACACAAATATATATGCAAATACATGCAGCCCTAAGATTTTGGGCTTTTTTTTTTTCCTTTTGAAAGATATTTTAGCAGGTTTTTAAATATGAACATTTTGAATCTTTTTAGTATAGAACTCCAAGGACTATCCTTCTACTCTTACAGGTTTTGTATTACGGCATTCCAAAACTCTAGCAACTTTTTAGGTTTTTTCCTGACTGCTCTTTCCTTTTTTTTCTTTCATGTTATCAGTAGTTACTTTTTCAGAGAGAAATGTTGAGAAGAAATATGAAGACATGGTAGACGGTAACTGAAAATTTATTACGCTCAAATAATTCATGCTTCCCCTGTTATCATTACTATTGCCCATATATACCTTGATTGGGCACTGAATCTCATATTTCATGTGTATTTAAGGTCTTAGCAAAATAGGCAAAGTTTCATTTTGCAGTTTTACAGCATTTGGTCTCAAGTTTCAACATTGCTTTCCATTTTATGGTCATTAAGACATATTATAAGGCTGCCCTCCCAAAACATATGCCAAGCAGCTTTTGAAACATTTACTATGTAGTAGTAGTAAGGACAGAAGATATAGAGGTAGTAAACTCCTTGCTAATGTTCTCTCTATGCTATTGAGATCTTAATTGTTGCAAGAGTTCTGATGAATGACATCGTTATCTTCAACTTCAGAAGGAAGTAGTAAAGATGTATATTTAAAGCTTCTCTGCACTGCAGAAACTCCGGCTTGGCTCACTGTCACATTTCACATTAAGTACCTTAGGTGTCACAAGAAAGACTGAGAAATGTGGCCTGGATAGATCTTCATTTATTTAGTAGGAATGGATCACCCAACAGATTAGTTTGAGCTGGAAGCAGCTTGTCCTGTTTTCAGCTGGGATAGAGTTAATTTTTTTCCTAGTAGCTAGTACAGTGCTGTGTTTTGGGTGAAGTCTGAGAATAATGCTGATAACACACCGATGTTTTAGTTGTTGCTATGTAGTGCTTACTTCAAGCCAAGGACTTTTCAGTTTTGCATGCTCCGCCAGTGAGGAAGGGCACAAGAAGCTGGGGGGAGCACAGCCAGGACAGCTGATGTGAACTAGCCAAAGGGATATTTCCGTATCGCAGAACATCATGCTCAGTGTAGAAATTGACCAGAAGGGGCCGTTCGCTGCTCTGGCACAGGCTGGCACCAGGTGGTGCGCAGTTGCATTGCGCATCACTGTTGTTTGTTGGGGATTTTTGTTTTATCTCTCTCTCACTTCTTGTAATATCCAAAATTCCCCCAGTTGTCCTGACCTTTCCAGGATTACTGAGCCTGGCCTTGCAATAGCAATGGCTAGCTACTTCGCATTTGTTGATGTATCCCTTCGAGTCCCATGGACTTGTGTTTGTCTGATTTGTTCAAGTGCTCCCTAATCTGATCCTCCTCCACTTAGGCTAAGTCTTCCTTGCTCCAGATTTTCCCATTCATCTTGAGGGCCTAGGATTGCTCAGTGCCAGTCTTATCAATAAAGACCAAGGCGAAGGAGTCATTAAGAACCTTAGCCTTTTCTGTGTCCTTTGTCATCAGATTATCTATCCTACTTAGCAGAAAGAACAACACAGTAGCAGACATCATTCTGAGGCAG